GATCTATATTTGTTCCCATCCCAAAGAAGGGTGACCCAACTAAGTGTGGAAACTATAGAACAATCTCATTGATTCTACTGAAGATTATACAGAAATGACTGGAACAGCACATCAGTAGAGAACTGCCAGAAGTCCAGGCTGGGTTTAAAAGGGATCGTGGTACTAAGGATATTGTAGCTAATGTTAGATAGATCTTAGCTGAAAGCAGGGAACACCAGAGGAATGTCTATCTGTGTTTCATTGACTATGCAAAGGCGTTTGACTGTGTGGATCATAACAAACTGTGGCAGAGTCTGCGAAGAATAGGAATCCCAGAACACTTGATTGCGCTAATGTGAAACCTATACTTGGACCAGGAGGCAGTCGTCAGAACAGAGCAAGGAAACATTGCATGGTTCAAAATTGGGGAGGGTGTATGCCAGGGATGTGTTCTATATCCATACCTTATCAACCTGTACGCAGAACAGATTATCTGCGAGGCTGGGCTCTATGAGGAGAAGTGTGGCATCAGGATTGGTGGAAGATCTATCAACAATCTGTTATGCAGATGACACAAGAGTTTATGGCTGTTGTACAAAAGGTGGCTATGAATCACAAGCGACTCGATGGCACATAACAACAACAACAACAAGAAGAACATAGAAGGAAAATTATATGCTTCAAACATTAATTGAAACTACTTTGTAATTGAGATGAAATTGTCGTTTTCATTAAACAATCCTCTCTTTTTGTTATTATTTCCAAAGCTATTTTTAGTGTTACATATGATACCAAATTAGTTCTAAGTCATCAGTCATTTCTAACATTTAACATTTGGAGAAACGGATTTTTAAGATGTGTGAACATTCCAGTGCCATGAAACAAGAATTCTTAATAGCTAAGCCTGCAGACCCCCGGCATGAGAGTTTCCTGAGCTGTATTCCTGGTCTGCATGCCAGATGGAAAAAGCTAACTTATTTTATGCATAGCATACTTGATGATCACTGACTTTTCTTGAATTTAATATATACAATGTGTTCAGAGCTATTATAAGGTGGAATATTTTTTAGGACAAATAATTATTCACATGTATCTTTTAAACATATTTTAAGTAGTTAAAAATTACCTTTTTGGATCTTCTACTTTTAAAAAATAATACACTAGTTTATAATATATAAGCCGAAAATTAACATTTTCCAAGAATAATACCTAAATATTTACTAATATTTTACTGATATTAAACATATGGATATTGCATTACTAAAATATATCAAAATAATTTATGACTTTTGGAAAATGCTTGTCTTTATTTTATAATTTTTATTTGTTTGTTTGTTTCTTTTATGTGTGTACCGTCAAATTGGATCTGACTGGTATAGGAGGCGTTTGTTCCTCCTTCTTCAGCAGAGCATCTGCTGGATGCCTTTATTTTAAAAATGAAAGAAATAGGGTTGGATATGATGGAAGAATGGTTCTTTTTAAATTGCTTTAAATTTTTTTAAATTTTTTATTTTATTTCATTATTTTTTGTGTGTACCGTCAAATCAGATATGACTGGTACAGGAGGAGATAACAATCCTCCTTCTCCACCAGAGCATCTGGTGAATTCGAACCGTGTACCTCTGAGACTGCAGTGCAGCTTCTTGCCACTAGGCCACCAGAGCTCACCAGAAGGGTTCTTTTATAGTTATTTTTGTTTGTATATTTTAATGTGTTTTATTATAGAAACTTTGCAGGTAGAAAAGCAAAAATTCATTCTTAAGCCTTAAAATATGGCTTTAACCTTAACTACAAATTTTGGAATTTCTAGCATCTCATAATTTCTATCTTAATTTGATCTTTTTCAAAAGTTATCTGAGAGGACTTCCAGTGAGATAGCAATCTAGTGAGACAAGCAAAACTGCCTTTCTCCAGTAAGAACATAAAGGTTTTAACACAGACTCTCAACCACTTTTTTATGTTTTAGCATCCTAAAGTGTTTTTTTGAGCATCCTAAAGTGTTGGGGAAACAAGAGAAAGAGTAAAAAGGTCAGTAAGGTCCTGGCAATAAGCACAACACACTGACTGAGTATGACTTTGCCCACAAAGAGAGAAGGAAAATCTTAGTGGCACATAGCAGAACACCATGCAGAATAGAGGACCTCCCCCCCCCCCATGTGACTGATTAAGTGAATGGATTTTAATTTAGGCAGATGAGACACTGTTGGGACCTGCCCCAGAGTGAGGTGGGAATAAAACCTTCCACCATCAAGGTGAACCAAGCAGCACCATTTTAGACTAGGTGAGAATATACCCCAAACAAAATAAAAATATCTTTAATTAAGTGTGGGCACTAAAAGAAACAGTTTATGTTCAGGGACTGAAAAGCTGTATGTCAATTCCCATAGAGAAAACAGCCTCTTTGTGCATGTGTGCACACACACACACACCACACACACACTCCCCCCCAAACTTCCCCCCCCACAGACATACACACACACAGACACTAAATGAGTATACATGGGATTATTGGCAGATAATGACTGAATGGCTTTTTAAAAAGCCCATCCCACATGCATATCTAATCTGCTGACCAGTCCTGCAGTGAAGGCCAGCCCAGGAAACTTAATATACACTCCCTTAAAGTCACATCCCAAATTATACTGACACAGTTTTACCTGAAGTTAGTTTCCAAAGCAGAGCCTCAAAGGGCCCCTTTGCCAAAGGACAATAGAAAGAAAAACAGGGGTTACCTGTTAACCCCTCCAGGGAAGAAACTCAGTTATCTTTTTCATTTTTAGCTCTCTAGCATGCACACACACCAATAACGCAAGAGACATAATGTACACCAACTGAGTAGATGTAGACCACAACCACCAACAATCCCATCATGGACATCATTACACAATGAACAAAGAGTTACACAGACATACCAATAATTCCCATGCAAATACCAAGAGGAAGGCTATAGAATGTCCCAGAAGAGGCAGACAGCTTCAATGCCCACAAAAAGCCAAAACAAGCCTTTATGTAAGAAATGAGATCAGATCACAGAGCCAGTGCACATTCCAGAGGCAAGAAGGTGAGATGAATATCCAACACAGAATTCCAAGGAATGATCTTAAAGAAATTACAAATGATGGAAGAGTTGAAACAAAACAAAGATACCAGTAATTTTTTTAAGTCATTATAAGTCAAAACAAATAAAAGCAATGGACAACTAGAAGCTATGGAAAAAGATTAAAACGCAACCCAGAATAGCAAGACCAACAATATAGAAGCCATCAACATGTAAGAAGGAAAAAGAAGCAGAATAGAAGAAATGGAACATAGAACCAGAGAGACAGATGACTAGACCATTAATGAAAATCTCCTAGTAGAAAACGCAAAGACATCATGGAAGGAAGATGATACAATGTGAGAATTATGTAGAACAACAATCAGGGAAATAACATATGTGCGACTGAAAATATAAAACAAGAAGGAAAAAAGAGAGTGAACTAACCCAGTCTCATAAGGACAAATACTGCATAAGACCATTATTATAAAAAGAGAAGGATAACTAGTAAAACATGAGTGTAAGCTCAAGGGGTGGGGGAGTGGGAGCAAAGGAGTGAGGATGAGTAGGGATAAAACTACAAGGTTGCATATTTTAGTGGGTGTCAGGCAGGGGGAGGAAATGGGAAGGTTCAGGGTGAAAAGACAGGGTAATAATGTACAAGGTCCAATGACAATTAATTTTATAAAACATAATGCATGTGAATGTATGAAATATAATGTGAATGAGGAATAACGTAAAACACAATGTATACTACCTCTGTAAGTAAATCAATTAAAAAAAACCCAACATAAAACAAAACAAAGTGAAAAGGGAAAAACAATCACTGAAAATTTGTGGATGAGGTGTTAAAAGAAAGCTTTGCAGGTATCACAAAGAATGAGAAAATCTAAATATCAAGACTCCCAGTGATGGCAAGAGAATGCTGGTACGTTAGGCCAGACCAGACTAGACCACCTCATGAAGACCAAACTGGCCTGCCTTTGCCTTGCTGTCCTATGCCAGACACACCAAAACCAGAGGTACTGTGTCCTTGAACATGGCTGTCTAGCTATGTCATATGGGATTTCATAAGCTCAAGTGGAAGTGGCTCGGTAGAACTGCGGTTTCTGGAGGGCAACAATCTTCCCACTTTTGATGGTGTTCCCCAAGAGAACAGCACCAATATATAGGTCCTTCATATAACATTGCCGTACCCTATGACATTATCTAGTTACCACAACCTAACATCTACTAAGAAAAGGCTCACATGATGTTAAGAAAGCAATAGACCAGAAATATGGAAAGGACCCAACAGTAGTGATTGGCTTAGGTTTAACAGTGGAAGAAATGATTTTTGAAGTGGCTGATACACATCTCTTTTTCAATGACTTAGAGGAGTGTGACCAAGTACATGTAGAAGATATGGCTTCTGATGACAATGGCCAAGACTTGAGAAACTACAGTTTTTCAACAGATGGTTTCAGTGGCTCAGGAGGCAGTGGCAGCCACGGTTCCACAGTGGGTGTCCAGGGAGGTATGGACTGGATGAGGAAGCTGGCTTTCTGGTACCGAAAAATGAAAGAGATCTATGATAAACATAAAAGCAACATGGGTGGTCTTCTCAGTCCCCAGAGAATGGAAGCACTTCAGAGACTAAGAGGAGACATTGAAGTTTTAACAGACTCCTGGTTAGGAACTGCCTTGAAATCTTTACTTCTCATCCAGTCCAGGAAAAATTGTGTGAATGTTCTGATCACTACCACCCAGCTGGTTCCAGCTCTTGCCAAAGTTCTCTTGTATGGACTAGGAGAAATATTCCCTACTGGAAACATTTACAGTGCTACCAAAATTGGGAAAGAGAGCTGCTTTGAGAGAATCGTGTCAAGATTTGGGAAGAAAGTCACATATGTAGTGATTGGAGGTGGGCGAGGTGAAGAAATTGCTGCCAAACAGCACAACATGCCTTTCTGGAGGATCACAAACCATGGGGATCTCGTGTCCCTCCACCAGGCTCTGGAGCTGGATATCCTCTAAGAACTGGAATGAAGAGATTTCCTCATGAGCCCCCTTTCACTTTAGAAGGGAGCTAGAAACTAGAACCAACTGGGAACACATACTCTTTCTCTCTCCATGGAACGCTGGCGAGAACACAATCAGAAGCAGCCACTGCAAGGGATGAAGCTGCTTGTTCTAAGACTGCCTGCAGTACCATGTTGTCATCCTAACGAAACAGGAGGCCCTCAGATAGACTCACCACAGCTCTAAAGCTCTTCTTCTAGTTTTTGTTTTATTTCAACAAATGAAGAAAATGAAGAGGAAATTCTTGGGGCAGATTTCCATTCTAAGTTGGTTGACCAGATTGAGAACTACTTTTTAATTTGTGGTGATAGCATAAATGCAGCAAATTTTTATTATAACATCTCTTGCAGTCTTTATACTCTCCTTAGCTGTAGAAATTATTCCCAGTGAATGTATGTTATTTTTCTAAGTAAAGGCTTAGTCTCTGAAAAAAAAAAAAAAAAAAGCAGTAGACTGTCTCAGAAATCAAGAAAAAAACCCAAAATAATCCTTCTCTTATAGGGAAATATATATACATATATATTGTTGTTGCCATTGAGTCAGAGGCACCTCATAGCAAGCCTATGAACAAAAGATATGGACACCGTTAACAACTTCTGTCCTTTCTCCAGGTTCATAGGATTTCCAGAGGCAAGCTATTATGGAAGTGGATGCCACTCCCACTCCTGCTTCCAAGCTTGTTTTAATCGGGGAGCTCTACCAGACACTGTCCACTATGAGTAACCATTTTCACATTTGACATCAGTGTCATAGTGTTCTGCTTCACAACAACCACAAGTTACTTCTGTCCAGCAAGTGGACATACCAGGGTTATATGACCTAGGAGATTGTTTCACCCAAAACAAGTAAAGGCAGGCTTGAGGGCTGCGGATTAGAGTCACCCACTTTAGGCTTGGGAGCATGACTTTCTGTCCACTAGGACAAGTGATCTCTCTCTATGCTGTTGTGTTGTTGTTAAGTGCTGTCAAATCAGAGGTGAAACTCCAGTCTCCAAGCCTTGTGAAGGATTTTAAGCTACCCCCTGGAGTAGGCTCCCCCCTTTATTTACCCTTACTCTAAAGCCCTTACTTTAAGGCCCAGGGCCACCTACTGACTTTAGAAGGGCAAAAAGAACAATAAAACACAAGGAAAAGGACTCCAGAAACTTCCCTTGCCTGACTACCACCAAGAGGAGCCACCATCAAGATGCCAGCCATCCTGCCAGTTAGCCAGCTAACTTCCAGAGTGCGTGCCCAAGCCTCCTGAATATATATATATATATATATAATAGTATAGAAAAAGAGGTACAAGAGTGTAAAAATTCATCACAAGACAGAGAGGGTAAAGTCAACACGGTACTGGAAATAAAGCATGAAAATACAATCCAAAACATCAAGACTGAAATCACAGAAGTGTCCAACATGTTGGTAGGAAAAAAAAGTAGAAGTGGAAGTTAGTGAGCTGGAAGACAAAAACCTTCCTGGAAACATACTAGAAGAAAAATAAGAGATAAAATGTAAAGAAAATGAAGAAAACACTAGAATCATGTGAGATGATATCAAAAGGAACAACATACACATAATTGGAATTCCAGAACATGGGAGTGACAGGGAAGTCATGGAGGGAATTGTGAAAGAAGTACCAGAAGAAAACTTTTCAGATATTTTGAATAAGTGGGAAATCCACATTCAGGAAGCAAAGCAACCATCAAACAGATTTGACTCACAAAAGAAAATATCAAAACATAGTCAAATCTCCAAATTAAAAGATAAGAAGAGAATACTAAAATCAGCATGAGAAAAACAGAATCATCTATAAGGGGAAACAACTAGATTAAGTTCTGATTTCTCAACAGAAACCATGTGAGCTAGAAGGCGATGAGAAGATATATACAGAAAGTTGAAAGAAAACAATTGCCAGCCAAGGATCCTATACCTAGTAAAGTGTTTCATCAAATATGAAAAAGAAATCACATCCTTTGCCAAAAAGAAGGAACTAAAGGAATTTGTAAAAACAAGACCATAACTACAAAACAGTTTAAGTGAAGTCCTTCACATAGAGATACCAAAGGAAAATCTATGGGCCATAGCAACCAGAAACAATAGAAAAAGAACAACAAAATGGCGATAGTAAAACCTGGCCTGACAATAATCACACTTAATTTGAATGGAATAAATGTGTCAATTAAGATAAAAAGAGTAGCAGAAAGGTTAAAAAACCCAAAGCCCATCAATATGTTGCCTACAATGGACAGATCTAAAAAATGGAAGAAAAGACACACTCAAAAGTAAAAACTAAAAAAAAATTACATATCAAGCAAATGGTAGCCGCATATAAAGCAGGAGTGGCAATACTAATCTCTGATAAAGTAGACTCTAGAATGAAAACCACCGTAAAAGAGAAGGAGGGAAATTACATACTGATTAAAGTCACAATAGATCAAGAAGTTATAACCTTGGTCAGCATTTATGCACCAAATGACAGACCTGCAAAATATATAAAACAACAGTTAACAGAGTTGAAGAAAGAACTACAAGGAGATTTAACTCACTACTCTCACCAAATGATAGGACAACTCAAAAGGAATGCAACAAAGATGCAGAGGATATAAACTATACAATCAGCCAAGTTGACCTTGTGGATGTATTCAAGGTATTGCATCTAACTAAAACTCAATTAACTTTTCTCTCAAGTGCACATGGTATATTCTCCAGAATCGATTACATATTATGACACAAAGTAAACCTCAACAAATTAAAAAACATTGAAATAATACAAAATATCTTCTTAGACTATAATTTCATAAAACTAGAAATTAACTGCAGGAGGGTAAAGCTTACAAAACCACCCATGTGAGAACTAAATAGTTCTCTGTTAGAACACTCTTAAATTATAAAAGAAATAAAGAAAGTACAAAGTCTTTGAAACAAATAAAAATGAAAATGCAACTTACCAAAATCTCTGGGATACAGCTAAAGCTGTTCTCAGTTGACAGTTCATTGCAATAGGCACGCACATAAAAAAAAAGGAAGAAAGAAGAAAAATCAAAGATCTAACTCAACACCTTGAGCAAATAAAAAAAGAACAACAATCTAATCCTACACACGCCAGAAGAAAGGAAACTATAAATTTAAGGGCTGAAATCAATGAGATAGATAGTAAACAGAAAAACAACTGAAACCATCAATAATACCAGGAGCTGTTTTTTTTTCAAAATGATGAATGAAATTGACAAACCATTAATAAACTTAACAAAAGAAAGAAAAGAGAAGATACAGATAACTCGATTAAGAAATTATTGAGGTGACATCACAACAGAATCAGATGTAATTAAATCAATAACATTGAAATACTCTGAAAAGCTATACTTGGATAAATTAAAAAACCTAAAGGAAATGGAAAAAAATCCTTGAAACTCATATGCTACCCAGATTGACACAGATAGATGTAGAACATTTGAACAGATCCATTATAAAAGAAGAAATTGAACAGGTCATAAAAAGTCTTCCCCAGAAAAATCCTGGACCAGAGAACTTCACAAATGAATTCTACCAAAATTTCAGAAAGGATCTATTACCAATTATACTTAAAGTATTTAAAAAAATACAAAAAGAAGGAATTCTACCAGAGTCATTCTATGAAACAAGCATAATCTCAGTATCAAAACCAGACAAAGATTTTACCAGGAAAGAAAACTACAGACCAATATCTCTCATAATATAGATGCAAAAGTTTTTACAAAATCCTAGCCAATAGAATCCAAAAGCACATAAAAAAATAATTCACCTTGACCAAGTGTGATTCATAACTTGCATGCAAGGATGATTCAACATAAGAAAAACAATCAATGTAAATCACCATATTAACAAAATAAATAATTAGACCCATATGAGCTTAGCAATTAATGCAGAAAAGGTATTTGACAAAATATAACACCCATTTCTGATAAAGACAATCAGCAAAATTGGAATAGAAGGGAATTTCCTTAACGTAATGAAAAGTATATACACAAAACCAAGAGCCAATATCAATCTCGACGGAGAAAGACAAAGCTTTTTCCACAAAAAAGGAATTCACAGAAGGGATCACAAAAGGATGCCCATTGTTATCACTTCTATTCAACACAGTCTTGGAAGTACTTGCTAGGGCAGTATGACAAGAGAAGGAAATACAAGGCATCTAGATCAAAGATATGGTTAAATTATTGCTATATGCAGATGACATGATAGTGGTGTTGTTGTTGTTGTTGTTGTTATGTGCCGTTGAGTCGTTTGCGACTCATAGTGACCCTATGTACAACAGACCTAAACCGTGCTCTATCCTGTGCCAATCTCATTGCCTCTGACACACCCATCCTGATTACCCCAGTCACTGAATCAATCCACCTCATAGAGGGTCTTCCCCTCCTGTGCTGTCCCTCTACTCTACCCAGCATGATGTCCCACTCTAAAGACCTGTCTCTCCTTACAACATGTCCAAAGTATGTCAGGCGAAGCCCCAGAATCCTTGCCTCCAAGGAGCAGCCTGGTTTAACCCTCTCTACAATGAATCTTTGTTTTCTTGGTAGTCCATGGTACATTCAATACTCTTCTCCAGCACCACAGCTCAAAGGCGTCAATTCTCCTTCTATCCTCCCTAGTCATTGTCCAACTCTTTGATGCATAACAAGTGATTGTAAAAACATGGCCTGTATCAGGTGGACCTTAGTCTCCAGAGAGACACCGCTACTCTTGAGTACTTTAGAAAGGTCCCTAACAGCAGGCTTTCCCATTCTCAATACGTTTTTTGATTTCCTGGCTACTGGTGCCAAGAGTGTTGACCATGGAGCTGAGCAAACTGAAGCTGTGAACACTCTCAGTCTCTTCGCCATCCATCCTGATGCTACCGATTGGTCCGGTGGTGAGAATTTTTGTCTTCTTGAAATTGAGCCTCAGTCCATACTGAAGGCTGCAGTCCTTGACCCTCTGCAGTAAGTA